TCTCTTACGACACAGAGATGTGCAAAAATATTTATACAAGATGGAATTTTGAGACATATCTTACATATTAAATAAAATAAATTAACTATCGGCATCGTTTTGTTGTGTCGCTGAAGTTTCATAAAAACTCTGTAATTATAGATAGAAGTGTTTAATATCACAATATTATTTTATTACGAAAAATAAATAAATGTGCAACCATTTTTTTTTCATAATTACGAACTACATTTCGAAATTGCATTTCAAGAGGAATCTCCACTTTATTCATCAAGATAACATATCGTGTTCATTAACTAATACATTATTTGTAATACAAATCTGCAAATGTAATATTTTCTTCTTTATGTTTACAAATACTTAAATTATTAAATGTACATACACACAAAACATTCTTACTGAAATGAAATTTGTTAAGCGTTTTTTAGTGCTCGTGGCATATGACATGGACCGTGGCTGCGTTTTGTTATGTTGTAAGGCGCATGGAAACCATGGAAACCGAGTGACTCTCTGCTCGGCATCCTGAATCTTGAGCAGGACCGAACGATGCTGGTGTTGCTCGGTGATGGAAAGGGATGGTAACGGCAAAAAGGGAAGCTAAAGTAATATGGCAGCGTCTAATCTAAAGTCTATGGCGCGAATTTGAATATGATACGAAATTTAGACTACTCTATATATTCGTCTGTTTCAAGTCCTAAATAAATGAATAAATATACAAGTTTAATTTAATTTGTTTTTAATTTTTTGCAATTGATATTTCGATAGTGTTATAAATACCTTTTTATTGAACAATTTGATTTTCATTTATTAACCAATCATTTAAAGGCAATGAATTTAGGAAGATGAAATGTTGTAAATGGCAATTGTTAATGGTACTATGGCGACTTTGAATCGAAGATCAATTCATAATTAAAAGAATTGATTCGTTTTAAAATCAAATATCCAAGCATCGATTTAAAAAAATCGATTCCATAAAAAATGTTTTTGTCAGAATATTTATTCGATGTTAGTCCACGCGTTATTTAGAAATAAATGGAAACTAATTTATGATGATCATTTACCATACCTAGAGTTCTTTACAGAATGAATATTGGTAGTACAGTAATACCTAAATTTCTGCAAGACTTTCCGGCCGCAGCGCGCTCCATTAGCGAGAATGGGTATAGCAATTGCTTTGCTCTAATTGTTTGACGATTTAATGCTAAGACAGGATTCACTGAGGGTTGGGTGCACAGTAAAATGGTGGGGATATAAGCACTTCCTTAGAGAGGAAGAAAACCGTGTAGGAGTTGAGTCATCTCCCGTTCTTAGAGCTGTTTTCGGGGACAGCGAGGCTCCTCAACTGGGATATGGTAGAGAAATTGCTTTGCTCTGATTGGTTGAGGATTTACCAGTTGAACAGAGCTGCCTTCACAAAGAGAGGAAATAGCGAGTGGGCAAGAGAGCACAACATCAGTACAACACATATAAAACAAGTCACACAGCTACCAATGTAGTTTATCTCACTTTACCATGCTTTCGATCTCAATCTTTTTGCGTATCCGTACACCTGGCGCCTCATCTGACACACGTGGTATGATATTCTACTTGTACCTGTCTCCCCGTAGAATTCAAATCACATCATCCAGCGTATTTAAAAACGACAAGTTTGACAACAAGTTAAACAAAATTAAACCCAGCTAATTATTGTGTATTGCCAGCATCATATTTTGCTAGAAAGAATTCTTTCAAAATTCTGTATCATATCGCAAAAAAACAGTTTCAGAATTAAATGAATTAATGTATGAAATTTTACAATATCCACTCTATTCAGCCAATCTATCGCCAACAAGTTTTTATTTCTTTAAACACCTATAGAACTCCTTTTCACGGAATAAACACTTCGCATGCGAAAATAGTATTAAAATCTCCATAGTTGAGTTTATTCATGCAAAAGACCAGAACTTTTTTAAAAATGGCATTTATACATTAAAAGTTCGTTGGGAAAAGTGCATCGAAGCAAGTAGGTCATATTTCGATCACTTGCAACATTGATCCTAATCCTGTTCAACTTGTCGAAACATTTCCTACAAACATATATGTTTAAAATATATGTCTCAATAGGCATTCAGCATTGTTTCGCAAATACATTGGAATATGTACTCGAGAATCCAACGAGACAAGTATAAGTGGAATATCACGCTGCGTGTTTCAGATCTAGCGCCAGACGAACGGATGCGCTAAAAGAGTGTGACCACAAACACGGTAAAGTGAGACGGCCTAGGTTTCTGACCGTGTGAACACTCCCTCATGCAGTCCACTGATTTCGTTCTATCTCTTTCGATCATTTCTCATTCTTTTTCTAAAGCAATTGCATGGTGCTGGGATGCACAGTAGAATGGTGGGGATAGAAAAGCTCTTGTACTAGTAGACGAGAAAAACGGCTCTAAGAACGGGAGCACATTCAGCGAGTATCAAAATGGCCAAAGGATGACAATACACAGCTGTCAGTTGAAGGAAAAAAGAGATATTTTGACGAGATTCGCGGGAAAATGTCTCATATTCAGTATGTAGATGAATTGGTCAAGGAATACTTACTTTTTAGAGGTTTCAGTCAAACCTTGAAAGCTTTCGACAACGATTTAAAAGCTGAAAAGGAGAAAGGTTTTCGGGTAAGAATACAACAAAATACTATAAAAAAGAGAAAAGATAAAAACAATACATTAAAAAAGTTGCATATAGGAATTTACACGTCTCTATAATTTTGTCTATTGCACTATGATATTTGTCAACTTCGTAGAATTTATATGATTTCTCTTCAGCTAGATTTATCATACAAAATTTATTCAGTGTTTGTGTTCAATGTTTATTTAATTATTTGCTATTAGGTAGACAAGATTGTGGATCAACTGATGCAATATGTGTACAATTATGATTTGACATCTTTGAGGGAATTATGGGGACATTTAGATACAAGAATGTTTTCTCGACTAGAGAGCCATTTTACACCAGCTGTAAGAAAATTAGAAAATGCTGTTTTAAAAATGTATTTGGTAAATGCAGCACTAAACAATAAGCAAGATCGAATTCAAGAATTTTTTATGAAAATGACACCAGAGTTGCAGGGACATTCAGAGTGGAAGGAATGGTTTGGTAGGCTATTGAACTGTTCCCTTTATTTAGTTCCTAGATAAAATTTTACTTTATATTTTTTTTTTATCTTGCAGCATTACCATTTGTTAAAAATCCAGAAGACAACCCAGCATATTCCGTGCATTTTAGTAGACAATGGCAAGACACTATGTTATTATCACTGCACAATTTCCTTGCTACTATTTTCCAAGTAGGTGAAAGGTATTTTGCATCTTGTCTCTCATATTATTAGTTCCATGATTTAATCACATGCTGGGTTCTATGGAAGTTTCATAGTCTTTTGAATACAAAGAATTTGATACAAGCTCCTTTTAAAAACCCTTTCTTAAAAAGTAAACAGAAAGCTATGAAACATTTATTTTAATTCTAGTGTATGCCACTACCAACATTACTCACTATAGACGAAGACACAAATAAATTAAAACGGTTGCAAGAGGAAAATGAAGCCCTCAAGCAACGATTAAGCGATTCTGTTAAGATCGACAATGTAATGGATGTGAATCCAGGACCAGCTCCTCAGCATCCACCTATTATGGATGACTTTTATATAATAGCACAGTAAGTATTGCATCTGTTGTAAAAGTTATACCATTAGAAAAGAGAAGATGTATATAATTTTCTTCAACTCGACTAATTCTTTTACTTTTACTTGTATAGAGAATCTCCTTTGCTCGAAAATCCTAAAACTCTAAGGAACCTGATACGAAATATAGGTGGAGGTTCTAGTCCGATTTTAAGTAGAAAATCTGCAGCAAATTCGAAAAAGGCTACCGAACCCGAGACAGTATCTACAAAAAGAACAAACGCCAAGGGGAAATTGAGTTCAATCAGTAAATCTGATACCGTTACCAAAAGAAGCATTAGCTGTGATTCAAGATTAACTAGCTCTAGAAAAAGAGACTCGTCCATCGATGCGGTAGCTGAACGCAAGGCTAAAGATAAAATTGATTCTACTTATATTCTTCTTAGCCAGGTAATATAATTTTATTTATGCTATGGGCGTATTGCAAATTTTACTTAACAGAAAATAATTTTTAGGAAGAGTATACGGAGCATAAAACGTCAATAATTCAATGTAAAAGTAATGCGAGCGGTTCGTATGTCGCTACAGGTGATGCTGATGGTATTATAAAAGTTTGGACTCCGATACCATCACCAAAGTGAGTATATCAAGTTTGATTTTATTTGTGAGCTAATGTTTTAATATAATAAACTTATTCCTATTTATTAATAGGACTGTTACTACATATATCTCTGCCACAGCAAACTCGAACAAAGCTATAACAGCGTTAGACTGGATTTCAAAGAATGAACGTTATTTTTTACACGGTGATAACAACGGTTTAATCCAGTTGCACGATACTCGCGATTGTAAAACTTTGTGGGACATTCAACATGAAAACTCCCGAATCATAACTCTACTCTGCAATCCGACTGAATCCACGTTCGTATGTTCCGTGTCGGACTCAAACGAAGGAAAACTTTTGTTATACGACATTAAGACAAGAAGATTGGAAAGAACATTACCATTAGAACAAAACGTAACCGCATTATGCTCTGCATTTAATCACAATGGTCAACTTCTAATCACAGGATTATCAAACGGAAATATTTTGATTCATGATTTAAGACGGAACGAAATTATTGATAATATTAGTTGTCATTCGAGTCCAGTTATCGATATAGAATTAATTAATGATTATACGAACATTTGTACTCAAAGTGAAGACGGTAAACTATGTCAAAGGAGTTTGAATCATTCGGGAAAGATTCTTTGGGAGACGAAGATAAAAGTGGAGAAAAATACTGTCCATGGGAAACTGTTTACGTTCGACCAAAGCGGTAATTATATGCTACTCTGTACACAAACTGGAGGAAACATATACAAGGTATGTAACTTTTTTTAAACGTAATTTAATTTTAAAATTAACACTAAAACAGAAATTACTTTACAGATGCCACCAGGTGCACAAGCCAAAGTCTTAGAATTAGGTGGTCATAAAGGCACATTGTGTTGTGATTGGTCCACCGCCAATCAATCCGGAACATGCATAACTGGCGGTGCTGAAGGAAAAGTACGAGTATCGACATTGCTTTCACCATGATACAAAAACAGAATTAGCATCTGTGTGAATTCTTAAAGCGATTGTAAAGTTCATTAGATTAGCTCAAATTTGTAGATAATATTTACTTATATAGCACATTCAATGTTAGAAAAAGGTTTCACAATTTCTATACTAAGGACAAGTCGGAATAAGCAGAATCTTCAATATTTCTGGAATACATCTCGCTACTTGTCCTAAGTATCGGAGTACGGAATTCGATAATATTCCGTATAGGTTCGTAACATCATAAAGCCGGACAACAGATCCAAGTATTTTTTGGAAAGTACAATGAACAGAAACGTATCGTACATTAGTTCAAAACTTTACTGTACTATAATTATATAATTAAACTCACATCAGGGACTACCAAATGTAAAGTATACAAAATACTGTAAAAAGGGATACTATAAATCTTATGTTAAAATGTAGATCACATGAGTAGAAAATTTTGTAAAAAAAATAAAATAAAAGTAAGAAACTGTACTAATTTATGTAATAGCAGTCATGTGAAAAACTAGCGATCTAAGTTAAACAGTGTAGGAGGTACAGGAACATGTCAATAAACATTGGTCAATTTTAAAATATCCTATATTATTGACTCTGCATACATTGACTCTACATACTAAATTCAAAGTCGAACAAAATACTTCTGGTATAAAATACTGACAAATCATTTCGAAATGTGTTTCCTCGAGATAACAAAATATGCATCTTGCTTACATAATTAAACTGACTCTTACCCTTTCGTACTTATATTAACAGGCAAGAAGTTTCAGATGCGGTTTTCTCATTGACCAACGAACAAACGGGCCCGTCATATCTAATTGTGGAGACCAAAACCTTCTGAGAGCTTCAATAATTTCCGCGGGTGATATTGGTTTTGTTACTGCAACCTAATAAATAGAAAATTGCACAAGATTTTCACAAATTTCTTTGAATGCATTTCAAAAGACTTTTTCTTAAATAGTACAAACCTTGCCATGATAATATGGCTTATAAGTATATGGATTCACGTAACTGAGTCTGAGTCGATCTATAGCATCTCCATAAATTTTATTTTGGTCTTGTCTTACTAACAACGCTAAATCCACAATTTGTGCTACTGTTTCGTATGCTAAATACCCCAAAATTGCATACCCTTGTTTTGATATAGTAATATCACCTAAACAAAAATTAAACATTCAAATATATTTAATATTCCAAGCTGTATTTGTTAGAAAGCATATTTTCATTTTAATGCTCACTCTCTGGTGAGAGCCAGTCACTGAATTTATGTCTATTTTTATTTGCAAACGATGCATTTCGAGCTTTACTGAATTTTAAATATCTAGCTTCATCCATGGACCTTGTCATGAGTTCTGCACGAACATTTCTCTGTTGTTTAATCTCATCAACAGTAGATGCATCTTCGAAAAGTTCACCGGTGTTGTCAATTAAATTCAGAAAACTATGAAACGGTCCTTTAGTCTTGGAATTTTCAAAATTTTCGGTATTTAGGATATCCTCGGGCATTTCATTATCCAATGTTTTGTTCAAAGAAGACTTATATTCCTTTAATTCTGTAATACAAATGTTTGGGTAAATATTTATCTTGATGTGTTCTGGAACTAAAAAATAACGTTACACGTGCCTAAATATTTTATAAGTCGCTGTAATTTCACTTTATCTTTGCGTAACAAAAAAATTAAATCCTCTGCACAGATGCTGGCACCCTTCTTTGAAGTTCCTCGTCTTTCAGAAACTTCGCACGCCTTTCTTACGATCGTCCTCATTTGTTGTAAAACTACTTCTTCTACAATTCTTGCAGATTCCATTAAAGGCTCACTACTATCTCCAAAACCATGCATCATTTGTCGAATTTCTAAAATATGTTATTTATGTTCTAAACGAAGTTAAATTTGCATATTTCAAATTATAAATACCGGTAGTATAATTCACAGGTTCATTTCGAACAAACTGCGATTCGCTCGCTGATTTCGAAAAAGTTGATTCAGCCATTGTTGTTTATTGGTTACAGATTTTTCTTTTATAAATAAGGGAACAAAAACATCGATAGATTTTCCAGAAACAATATCAGTAAACACATTAGCAACAAGGTTAAGTGGTCACATTGTATATCGCTATGATCAATGATTGCTATGATGATCTCAAGTCTTAGACGATATGATCTAAAACAGTTTAAAGATGATCTAAAAGATTCAAGTGAACTGTCATTTTTGCTGATTCGATAACAACTGATAACAATTGTAGGTGAATGCAATGACAGTGTATCTTATTGTAGGATATCTCCGTTTTAATCCTAGCATCTCTTCATAGAGGGCTACGTTTCTCGTTTGTTGTTCCATTGTGGATCGTTTGTATATAAACTGATCGATTGCAGGATTGAATCGGTGGGTTTGACGAGGGTGCGCAAACGTACTCGCATGGTATAAGTTGCGCACGTGATCCTTGACATAACCTTGACTATGTACACAATCGTGCATAAGATGGTGTGAACTGTGATGAACGGTTCCTCCACGTCACGTGTTGTTGTTCTTGTCCGTCGCTAATTCATATGAAATATATGATGACTTCGGAAATTGGTTTGTTCGCTCTACTTCCAGTAAAAAAAATGTAAGGGCAATCCTCGTCGAACCCTTTACTTTTTGCAGATCTTTTCTTAAAATTTTTTTTTTAAGATAATTTCTTATTAAAATTTATGCATACTTCTGTTTGCTATACTATATTTACAACAAGCATAACAATATTTTAAACAACAATCACAAGAAAATTTATTGAAAAAGCCGTCGAGAAACTGTCAATCTTGTAAAGTCTTTTCAAACTTGGTCGGTAAAGAAAATATTAATATTTGTTAGAATACAATGCAACATGTGATTAAATTGTATTGATTTGATTTGTTGCTCTTTCATATAAAACTTCTTCGGTGCTTAGCGCAATAAATAAATCAGAACTAACTGTATTGCAATGTAATTTACAAGACTTTTTGATAAAAATTTTCGTTACGTTTGGAAAAGAATTGTGGTATGTTGTGCGCAACTGTTCTGTTTGTCTTTGTTCATGCGATAATACATGCGTATTGTTTAATATTATGCTATTTTTTTTTTATTAGAAAAAATATAAAAAGAATGTATTTACTTGATTTATACAGAATTTAGTTTTCTGTGAAATTTACTTTAAACAGTTTTTTAAATATATGTATACAAAAAAGGAAAGAACTACAAGAGATAACTATCATTATCCGTGGACCGATTTTGTTCGAAATCTAATCTGACGTTGCGATGAAAATATTAAATCTGTATACATTGACTCGAACACGATATTATTAGCAAAATTATTGCTCCTTTTTATTGTTTATAATAGTATTATTGAATCAATTGTTTTTTCTCATATATTAAAGTACTTCTTATAGTAAGTAGAAACATAAATTTTGTTTATTTATTACGCATGTACTTTTGTATAATAAGCGATAAACAAGATTGTGACAAAATTTAACGTCGCAAAAATATTCGGACAGTGAATGAATTACATTAATTTCATATAAAATGAAAATCTTTTTAATCATGTTATCATAATATTAATATTTTTTGTCGGTTGATGCTTTTGTTTTATTATTTCATGTAATCGCTTGGGCTTGTTACAGATAATTTTATTTAAATACTCCGGTGAAATCCGTTTCCATTCGTCTAACAAACGTTGTTTTAACTCTGTTGTTGTCCTTGTAGGTACTGTACGAATTTTGTGGTCCAATTGATCCCATAAATTTTCAATCGGATTTAAATTAGGCGATTGAGGAGGCGAATGTAGTACTTTTGGACAATTGTATAATAAATATTCCTGTACAATACTAGACTTATGTTTAGGATCATTGTCTTGATAAAACTTAAAACTGTTATTTAACGTATATTTATAGCACTTGTAATAAATTTTTTTTTTTAAATGTCTAAATACTTCATTTTGTCCATAATACCATCGACAAAAACTACATCACCTGCACCTGCAAACGAGATATAACCCCACACTTTTCACTCCCACCACCGTGTTTCACTGTCGGTCTTCAATTTGAAATATTTAATTCTGTGTTTACTTTACGCCGCACCATTTTTTGACTGTCGGATCCGCAAAGATTAAATTTACTTTCATCCGAAAATATTACATCATTCCATATTCTTTTGCAAAGCTCAATCTTTTCTTGCGATTTGCTTAATTTATGTATGGCTTTCTACGAGGAACTCTTCTGTTGTAACCATAAGTTTTTAATACCCGTCGTACTGTGTCCAGGTGTACCTTCTTCCCAGATTCTACGAACAACTTCTTTGTTAATTTTGTAGCACTTTGTCTAGAATTTTTCTTTATTTTTCTTATTATCTTGCGTTGGTCGCGAGAGTCTAGTAATTTTGGACGACCTTTTTGAGGAATTAAATCGATCCAATCCTCACGAATATACCAACGTATAATATCTGCCACACTACTCTTGCTTATATTTAATAATTTAGCTATATCTCTGTATAATTTTCTCTTTTCCTTTTGATAAATAACCAATTGTCGGATTTCAAAAGACGAATTTCTTCCTTTTCATCCCATTTTCACAAGTAAAGCGTCTATCACCAATAATTTCTGTGGTACCGAGTTCTCACAACGAATTTTTATTTGTTTATAAACAAATATACATAAAATACAAGGAAACGTGTGCAATAAATAAACANCGCGAGAGTCTAGTAATTTTGGACGATCTTTTTGAGGAATTAAATCGATCCAATCCTCACGAATATACCAACGTATAATATCTGCCACACTACTCTTGCTTATATTTAATAATTTAGCTATATCTCTGTATAATTTTCTCTTTTCCTTTTGATAAATAACCAATTGTCGGATTTCAAAAGACGAATTTCTTCCTTTTCATCCCATTTTCACAAGTAAAGCGTCTATCACCAATAATTTCTGTGGTACCGAGTTCTCACAACGAATTTTTATTTGTTTATAAACAAATATACATAAAATACAAGGAAACGTGTGCAATAAATAAACAAAATTTATGTTTCTACTTACTTTAAGAAGTGCTTTATTATATGAGAAAACAATTGTTTCAATAATACTATTATAAACAGTAAAAAGGAGTAATAATTTTTCTAATAATATCGTGTCCGAATATTAATGCGAATCACTGTATAAAGTTCTATCGAAATCCATTCAACTGTTAAAACGCAATTGTGTTAATAAACATATAAGAAATGAAAGAAAAGAAATAATAAGTAGTAAAGAAAGAATAATTAAAACGCGCTTTTCTATTGTAACGGAACGCAGAGAGGGGTTCGTTCGATTCGGGTTCGAAGAACGCAAGATGTTTAGGTTTGGAGATAAGCGCTGGCAATGTGGTGGAGGCTGGCCTTGCAGGGACAAGCCGGGCCGATGGACAGAGAAAATCGGACCGTTGGCTAAGACGGATCGTTGTACAGAAGAACGGGAGGAACCCAATATTCAGGATGTTCTACAATTACTTTAATAGCCGAAAATGAGGGGTAGCTGACGTCATTTGAAGTAACTTTTCGAAGAACGCGTCGCATAAAACAATCTGCTCTTTTCAGGGCCATACATATTTTCCCAGGAAAGTTGGTCCACAAATATTATTGATAAGTGATCAATGTTTAGTTATAATGCAGTGAAAGTAAACGTTGAAATTGCCTGCCCG